GTATGTCAAAATGACATGTAAAATTACAATTTTTTAAAATTTCAATAACTTTTTAATTGTTTAGTGAATCGATTTGTAATTTTTACAGGAGTTTTGGAATTGAACAAGGAATGTTCTTCCAAATTTTTATATGTCTCGTACCATTTTGACATACCTCCCAAACATCATCAACTCCATTTTAATTTAATTTTTTTACAAGCTGAAATAGATACCTAAGTTTTTTGTTCTTTACCTAGATCAACGATTAATGTAAATTAAATGGTTGAAAGAGGTAAATCTTCACCCGATTTAGATGGGGATTCACTGTATTACGAAGTATAGTTGATACTTAGTTTATGTTAATGTTGGTAAAACAGTATGGACGTCAATCAAAGACGATTATTTTCTTTTTAGAGACTCGGCAGTGTAAGAGGAGAGGACTTGACTTACATCCTGGGAATGCCATTGGTGACTGGCGCTCCGTTTTTTCCACAAAACTTCACCAGACAGGACATGGGTGTTGCGGAAGCCATGCTCAATTTTTTTAGCAATTTTGCGAAAACAGGCGATCCCAATCAGCCCGGTCTCACGAAAGAAATTCCCGATTACGGGACGTATAAAGAGAGGACCCGTTACAAAGGACTAGTCTGGGATCCATACGAAATAGGAACCCAACTCTATTTAAGTATAGGTATGTAATAAGCATAATAAAATAAGCATATCGATTAGTGTTCCATGTTAAAAGTAGGGAATTACAACAATCTGCATGAAGTTACTTCAGTAGGTGTATTGAAAAGCTGCCAACAAGGAAATTTCAAAAAAATCCTAACTCAGTGTGTGTCTTCGCTCGATCTGCTGTTCAACTACAGGCATAATAATACGTAAAATAAACTGTATGATTAAGTTTGAAGTAAGGACACTTTAATCTTCCATAACTTAATCAAAATTTTTAATTTTGTGACGAATTATTCAGAAAAGAATATTGGTCAAAATTTGGTATTATATGTTGAGTAAACCTCAGAGGAAATGCACTTATTTTTCTTCTTTTTCTTTAAATACGTCTTTTAAATTTCAACAAAAATGTTTTTATTTTAACCCTTCGCTTGTGTGGTATCTAAAATAAATCTCAAATACTACTCTTTATTATTGCTTTCATCATCATCATCATCATCATAAGGTTGTCAGTTCTAAGGCTGGTTGGACACGTACCTCCACTCTTTCCGGTCCTGAGCTAAACTTCACATTTCCCTAAAACTAGAACAACCCACATCCATAACTATTTGCGAACAGTAATCTAACCTAGGTCTACCTCTACCCCTCCTAACTCCTGTTTCTGCCTCTAATATGTCTCTGACTAGGCCTTCATGCCTGATAAGGTGTCCTACCAACCTATCTCGTCTATTTTTTATTGACTTCCATAGAGTCGTCTGTTCCATTCTTTCTAATAGCTCTTCATTTCTAACCTTTTCTACCCACGTTATCCTCATCATTCGCCTATAACACCACATTTCGACGGCTTCTAATCTTTTCTTTTCCGCCGCGCCCACTGTCCATGTTTCGCACCCGTACACCGCGCTCCAACCACACCTTCAACAATCTTTTTCGAATTTCTAAATTAACCGTCCGCGAGCATAGAAATGACTTATTTTTATTAGAATTATATCAAAAGTAAATTATTTTATATTATAATATAATTATATA